GGTTTAGCAGTTTTAATGTAGGGGTCTTGCTGTGCACGCCTGGAGGATTTCCTTCTAAGCCAGTTACAGAATTAGGTTGCTTTGCTGAATTAAATTTCTATCACTCGTTATTAGTACCGCAGTAGCACTTAGGCGTTCCAGCTGAGATCAAGGCTCCATTGTGCGCGGTGCTGTATGTAGGAGATAAGGAGGGGCAGTCCCATTCCTGACTATCTTACCGTTGAAATAAACAAGTGAAATGAAGGGGAGAGAGGGAATTATTATCCTCCTCTCACAGATGGGGTGAAGCTTTCTGTGAGCTTCACAGTGTGCTGAACAACTTCAGAACTCACGTCTTGCCCGAGGTCATGCAGGAAACGTATGGCAGATCTCAAGTCAGAGTTCAGGGTTGCAGCCTTAAGATCGCTGTGTGTCCATGGTGACTGTTAGTTGAAAGATGGTAGGTCAGGAACTCTGCAGGGATCTGCGTTTTCTTAGGTCTCATCCAGCACTGAGGCAACCGACTTATTCAACTATCCTTGAATAATTTTGGTGTGGCTGTTCTGGGTTGTCTCCTGTGCTAGTCCAGGGCAAAACTGGAAAAACATCTCTGCTTTGTGAGCGGAGTAAATGATAAAAATTGTCTGTGGTGTACTACTTTTATTCTGTAGCAGCTTTGCAGGTCAAGCTCCTGATCTGTTCCCAGGTTAGGCCCTTAATGGCAGGCAGGAATGTTTGCAAGGAAACGTGTGCATGCAGCTCTTTCTGGGAAATTGTCTAAAGCCTTCAGGTTTCCCCTAGTGTGCTGTGCTGCTGAGTTACAACTAACCTGCTGGTGTGCCCCCGTCGCTTATGACTGCATGGCCCTGGGGAACGACCTGCTGCGAGGACAAGGGACTCTGCTCTTATCTTTTTTTCACTGAAAATGTTTTCTCGTGAAGTCTAGGGCGGGAAGCAACTGGACTCAGCAATTATTATTTTTTTTTTTTTCCCCAATACAACCGTACCCAACTGGAACCTAATTCTTACCTGTCCTTCATCTCAGTTCCTTTTAGGCCTTCCCTAACCATTGCCACCACAGCGTGAAAACTTCAGGGGTTTGCCTACTCTGGGATTCCACCCTGTGGAGGTTAATACATCGTGAAGATAAGCTCCAAGGTAATGCCGTGCTAGCTGGGAACACACCTCTGCTTCCTGCAGGTGTCCCGTGGCTCTGTCTTCATTAGGAAGAGAAAGATGCATCCCGTGCCCAAACTTAAATCCACCCTTGATCATAGTATTTCTGGGCTGCTGCTCTCTGGGCCTGAAGGCTGTCTGGAAGACACAGAGGCACCTCTCTCCTTCTGACAGAGGCCCGAGGTTATTGCTTTGCATGTCCCTCATTTGCTAAACAAAACAGCCCAAAGACCAGGATTTTCTTTCCCTGGCAATAAAGGGAAGGAGGTGTGAAGAGGGCTGGGGAGGTGCAGGATACTGGGCGGGCTCGGAGAGAGGCAAAAACAATCAGCTCTTTCTTCAGCCACAAAGATTAGTTGAGATTTTGCTTTTTGTTATCTGTTTCCTTGATTGACTGACCAGAATGTTTTTTTGATGCAAGGGGAGATGGTGGGAAAGGGGTTGTTTCCAGAGCGGTCAGAACTGGGGAGGATTTGCATGTTTGGAGAGCGAGGCCAGGTGTGTTTGGAGTTGGTGACAGCCACGACCTGATCCTGACAGGTGCTGAGCATCCTTGGGTACCCGTTGTGTGGATTCAGTAGCTCCAAGGATCAGGGAAGACCTTTGCCCACTCCATACAGCAGCCTGCCCGTGGCTGGTGCCATGTTGGGAGTGGAAGGCTCTCCCCCAGCCTGGCGTAGCGAGGTTTGGGTCACACCACATCTGCTCCCTTCCCTGCTCCTTCACCTGTGCTTCCAGAGCTTCAGGTGGCGCAGATGAAAGCCCAGGGAACGGTGCAGTGTGCCGCTGCCTGCTCTGGAGCAGAGCCACGCTGGGTCCCTCCATCCTCTTCCTCAGGGGACCGTTCTCCCTGATCAGGGGTTGCAGTGACCAAGGGGCTGTGGGGCTCTGCTGAGTTTTTCCTGACATCCATAGTCCTAAAGGAAGGACAGTGCTCAGTGGTGTTACCTGGCGGTCTGAAAGTGGCACCTTGTTACTCGAGGGGAAGAAACTGTAGTGCCTTAGCGGAAAACTCTGCAAGTTAATTCCTTCTCCTCGTCCTCCCTTCTCACCTCACTGCCTGACTCGGGCCATAATGTCTCACTGGCGCCTTCGCCAGCTGGCCTCCATCCACCGCCAGTGTTTCTGGAGATACGCTCCCAGTGCCCGCGGGAGTGGGTCAGCCCGGGCCCCCCTGCGCTGCTTTGGCCACAGACGTGTTTTCCCGAGCGCGGCTCTGCAGCAGCACGCTGCCTAAGGCCACCCCAGTGTGTTTCCCTACTCACTGCCCATCCATCTAAAGCAGTCCTTGCATCTCCCAGGGATGTGCTCACCAGGCTCCTCGCAAATATAAGGGTAAGGCTGACACCGTCTCCTCCGGTGTAACTGCTCTTCAGTAGTCTCTGGGTTCAGAAACACCAATAATGGTGAAAGCAGCTGCCTGCCCCAGGGTCCTGGGGGGAACCAAAAGACAAGACTGGGGTTATCTGTGCTTTGTTTGGAGGGAGAAGCAGGCTGGAGAAGCACAGCCTAAGGGCAGAAGACCCCAGCCACCTGTTGAAGGTCATACCTCCTCTGTACCATGGAAATGAAAGA